AAGGAAAGGTGTATGATTTTGATAAAGTTTTATCAAAGCATCTCGTATCAGAAATCTGAACTTTGGTAAGAAAGTCAATAAAGTATTGATTTCTAGAAGTCCAGCTGATTTCTGAGTACATGTCAAAGCTAGTGGGAGCATAAGTGTTATGCTAATAATCATCATGTTAGTGGGAGCATGATAATTATTGTTAGTGTTGCAAGTTAGCAATGTTAATTATAGAAAACAAAAGTTTCAATTCGTGAGGCTGCAGGGATTCAAAAAGTTGTTTTGCTATAATTAAGGGAGAGGATATACTTCATTTCAGTTCTAAAGGCTTAGATTGAGACCTTAATCATCTTTAGTCAAGAATATATATATGAATTTCATGTTGGATTGGTTCAACTTAAGGAAATTCTATATATTGCGTTCTCAAAATTGATTATGATTACGGCATCCCTCTTCATAGTCAAATTTTGAAAACATGGCAAATAAAAATATTGTAGCAAAAGACTGGTCTAGAATCATGTCTTTATGTGAGACATCATGAATCGTGTACCATTTGCTTTGGGTACAGGATCGATTGCATGTGCTATAATATTTGTCATTTCTAAATTTTTCCAAATGCCCAGAGGCATTAAGAAGGGAAAAGGTCTACAATTGGATATGACTAAAATGATTAAGCAATTGTCGAGGACAATCTGAGGTTTACCAAAGATTGGTTGCTCAGGGACAGTTGGAAGTATAGTGCTAATTTTGGAAGGACCATATTGACATATTCTGAAAAGAGGCATCTCTTATTCAGAAGTGATAGTCAAAATGAGAATATGGAGTTGTCTCCATAGGTGGAAGTTATCTGTGTAAGATTAGAAAACTTAATGCAAGAAGCATGTCCAAAGCAATGTACTTTGAATATGAGACTTAGTTTCCATGGAGTTGATCTCCATTGGAATACCTTATAATGACTGTTGACAAGTCTTTGTGACTTTGTACATATTCATTACAGGAGGGTCAGTGCATATAAGTTTAAAATCTAAACAGATTTCGATAAATGATAGGAATTTGAAATTCTCACATTTTTCGATAAGGATTTGGGAGTGTGAAATTAGAATCATTGAAATTATGTTCAATTGTTTATTTCACAAAGTAAGGATCATAGACAAACATAGAGTGCATACTTGGTGTATGGCAAAGCTATTGTTTAAGAAAAACATAGTGTACATGCTTGGAGCATGGGACAACTAGTGTTTTTAATTCAAGTATAAAGTTGATAAAACCGAAACAATGAATAATGAGTAATCAGTATGGTGATAAATAAAAGTGTTTATTTATATTCATAGGGTTTGATACCATATTTGATTCATTTATTCTTGTGTTTCACTTTGCATGTTTTGACTTCCAGAATAACTAAGTCGCTCTTCCTGAATGATTAAGTTATTCAAACCATCCACAGTCGGTCATATGTTGGAAGTAGATATGAATCAAGACTGTCATGGGTTGGTTTGTAGAGGTCCAAGTTGGTGGACAAAGTGGTGCTACAACACTCATGAGTGCTCATAAGTTCTGAGTATTGGATTCAACCCGCGCTCATTTGAATCACTTCATGGATTTTATCACGAGTGATCATGAGACGATAATATCTTATATTCTTCAAACCTAGAGATATGAGTTGTTACTATGAGTTGGTTATACATTGATTGCACGAAAACGCATTGGTAACTCGATGTTATAAAACATGCCTTTGTGTATGATTCAACAAGTAGTAGAACAAGCCATATGAGTCGAAGTTTATCCATTCCTTTTACCTTCGGAAATAAAAGCGATATCTGTGGGCCCCTAGATGATTTAGCGATGACACATGTGAGTGCTTGGCCAAGCCAGGACTGATTTGATTTGTTCAATCAGTCAGTCATCATAAATCGAAAATCGGGAAACAACAAATGGACAGAGAGAATGATTATAATCCATGTCTCAGTCCATATGATATCTAGAATGGAGGAATATATGATCCCTTATCTAATGGACAAGTCATTGACAAAGGTCAGAGTTCATTGACAAGATCAGAGTTCGACAGCGACTTTAAGAGCTACAATTGCCAGTTGGTTTTTGAAGTCATACTCAATAATAGTTTTAGACTTATCCAAGTAGAGACTGTTGGATTAATTTCTAAGTCCATAACTATATTTGGTATGTACTTGACCCGACCCGGCATGGTCCATTTGGGTTGCACTTCACCGACACAATTTATATGGATAGTCTTTTGAGAATAGTATATTTATGATTTATATTAATATATTATAAGTTCTAATATATTAATATATAATCATATTATTTAACTAGTATTGATCAAGAATTAATTTATAATTAATTAAGTGATCAAAAGGAACTAATTAAATATGGACTCTTAGATATATATATATATATGTGTAGTGGGTCAAGTTCATTTAGGTTGGGCTAAGTCTTCATGGATAGTCCATGGAGCTTTAACCCATGGATCCTAGGAAATGAAAGGTCATGGGTATTAGGGTTTAACCCTAATCCTCCACACTATATAAAGGGTCTTATGGTTCATGAAATTATGCTAGTGGCTAGTGTGGATACACTAAAGAGGGAAATAACCGATTTCATAGTGTGAGCCAAGTATCCATATTCTCTAAAGGTTTTCCAAGGTGTTTTGGTGATTTGTGATTCCACTTGAGGCTTCCACACTATTGGGGCTAAGCTCTTAAAGCTTGAAGACATCAAGCTACATCAAAAGGTATGTCATCTAACTAGAACTTTGTAGTATAGGTGCTTCATAATATGCTAGTTAGGATGAAACCTTGGAATATTTAATATTTGCATGTATAATAGAGAAAACATAGATCCAAGGTTTATAGGGTTACATGTACACCATAGGAGTGTTAGAATGCTCAAAACCCAACATTATGATCCTTTAGAAATCTTATATGACAATGAGGGTGCTAATGCTTAGGCCAAAGAACCCCGATCACATAAGAAGAACAATCACACTAGCCGGAGGTTCAACTACGTTCGGCATGAAGTTGAAAATGGTGAAGTTAGTATGCGTAAAGTACACACTGATCATAATTTTGGCGGACCCTTTCACGAAGCCCCTTCCTCGAGAAATGTTTGAAGGACATGCATGAGGGATTAGACTTCACTTTTCTAATGATTGGCTTTGACTTATGTATTAGTATTAAATATTGGAACATTATATAACATCATCTATTGTAATGACTGATATATATGGCATATGATCGTTTCATTAAATATTTGTTGTGTTCTTTTTATTAACATGTTTAATCCTTGATTAAATTTATCCATTCTAAAATCCACTGTCCGTTATTATTATGGGAACAATATTCAAGTAAGACTAATATGAATTGGAATGGATGACAAAGGGTTGTAACCAGATTCATAGGTACTTGCTAGAGAATAAGTATTGGATATTCCCATTCAAGATCAATTCATGAATCATTGTCATTAATAATACTTGATAAAAGGTAATATTTGTATAACCTTAGTACTAATATACATATATAGGACTTGCATGTAGGAAATGTTATGCTTTGATATAGTCACATGATGTTCTTTAAACTGGCAGTTCTAAAAGCTATTTACAGGTATGATATGAACCATGCAAGAGGCATATGTAGTCAAGATGGGATTTCCTCCTTATTCGTTGAGAGTTAGACATCTAAGGCATGATGTGAAGTTGAACACTCATATAAGATTGACTGTGATCTATATCTTATGTTAAACATGATGTTTGTAGCAAATGTATAACTGATAAACTTACCTTATACACCAATTTTAGCTTTCAGCTTCTGGGGAATTGGGCGTTGACAGAATGACACAAAGTTGTATGTTGTTGGGGGTAGTGAAATGTTGGTAGACGTTCACCACTCTCTATATCAATCTAATATGAGTCTTGCGTAAGTGGAAGATTGAAAGATCTTGTATTCTCAATATTCATATTGAAATAATATTGCTAATTAACATATGATCGCAAAGGTCACACTAATAAGAACATAATACAATTAATTATTTATTAGAAATTGATTTTAATAAATATTCATAAACTCTTATGAATAAATTGGGAGAATATTTATTTCAATCCAAAAATAATTACAATAACATGTAACACATTAATTCATATAGCCTGAAGTAATAAGTCATGCAAAATATGTTGGACTATATAAATTTTTTGTTTTTTATCAAAAAGTTAAATGTCATATTTTATAAACTTGTTTACAAAATATAAAACCTTTGCTTTCTTTTTCTTTTTTAAAGCCAAGAATAGAGAGGGAAAGAGAGAGTATGGCACTTTTGTTTGTTTCTACAAAGACTATCATCTTTAAATCAAGTTTATTAAATAATGTGCATGCATCCCTAAAAATAAAATTCTTTTATTGATAAATATTCTTCAAATATGGTCAGATTTACTATTAATAATAAAAAATAATAATAATATAAGACGTGGGTAATCAATACAAATCGAAGTTAAAACCATAAAATATACAAAGTAGGTCAAACACCACAGACGAAAAGAAAGAACAAGAACACCACAGACGAAATCAAAGAATAAGAAACGTCCGTTTATTGCACGTCACGAGACTTTTTGTGACAAGCCAAACAGTATTACTTTAGGAACATGTTCTTCGTAAATTTCATAATATATTAATATAAAATTAGAATTACGACCAAATTAAATTTTGTTTATTTCAAACAGTGTATGATAATCAAAATTAAAAAAATTAAGAATCAAGTCAAAAATATACGAATAACTATGGATTCATCAAATCAACTTATTGCAACAAAAGGCCATTGAAATAACTCGAAGAGTATTCATACAAAACTTTAAGCTCAAATTACTTTTTACAAAAATATAAGACATGTGATCGATCTCTTCACAACAAAGAAACCAAAAGTGATATCAAAACAACAACAAAGAAAATACTTTCAGTTCCTTACACGCACTAAACCACCAGAACAACCACCATCAGCCGTCCCAATGATCACCTACAATTAGGAAAGTTTACTCCACATGCGGCAGCGACCCTCCTAGCTCCGGGAAGTCTCAGATAGCCACCAAAAGTCGGGTCAGATGTTTCCCTGCAAAGACAAGGTTCCTGGCCCTTAAGCCTCTGGCAACAGGTTGATGACGGTGGCATGTTTGAAACCATGGCTTGCAGACACCAACTGATCTCCACCGGATCGCATCTGACACGTTGGGCTTCGGTGTGTTTCAGGTATCCAGTGGAAAGTAACAGCGCCATCACTGCCACCGTGAACCACTGTAGTCCTACGAATGATGGTGAGTTTTTCATGATGGAATTAAGATGAGATTATGAGATTTAGATGGAGTTGAGAGAGATGTGATTTTGAAGTGAGGTCGGGTGGGATGAATTTATAGAGGTAGTGTGGTGGGAACGGCTATGCTTGGTGACATGGTTATGACTTCTGAGCCGAACAAGAGAGTTTTTTAAATCAAAGGCTACGGCCCACGCACTATTTAATTACTCACGGCGGCTCACGCGCTGTTTATTTAATCACGTCGGCGGTTGCTTACGACGCACCACTCTCTCTCCGATTTACTAAAATCTTATAGAGTAAATTACCGTTTTGGTCACCATAGAATGTTCCAATTTGCATTATTAGTCCAAACTTTTAAAAATTGATATGGATGATCTTTTTGGTTAATCTTGCACCTGAGGTCACCTAGTCAATTATTTCTTAGATATTCCATTAAATGTTTGTAAAAACGTTAATATTCCCTCACACCAAATCAGTAAACAAATAAAATAAAAGGATCACTTTTGTAAAAACATCAAACTGAAACCTAAGAACCCTATAATGTTGTTATATCATATTATCTTCATGATCCGAACGTCTTTATCACACCATTCGTCACCACCTTCTCCTCTAACACCATTGTCGCCCCCATCCATCGTCTTCGACTACACCGCTTACAACCACCATTGTGTCAAAGCAACATAAACAAACTAAAAACAAAAACTTAATCATCATATTCCACCAAGGATATTTTTATAGTGTCCTTTCAACAAAAATTAAACAAGAAAGACATAGAATACATGCCCTTCTACAATTTGATTAAAACCTCTTGTTGGTTTGGATGAACTAGAACCCAAACCAAAGTTTATCCGGTGAAGTCGCACCCAAGAATATGATGAATGAACTTGAAATTGAAGCTCCTTCGTCTTTGGATGCCAATACCGTGAGCCTCAGGCAAGGGGGTGTCAGATTTTACTACGAAACCAAGAGGGAGAGAGTGTTTGAACAACAAAGATCGAGAGGAGAAGGGACGCCGACACCTTATGGAGTCGGTTATCTCTATAGAGTTAATCCTTTTTAACTTTGGTAATTATCCTTAACATGGTGGGAAATTTATCATTATTCCTAAAATAGAAGATAATGACTTACAATAGATATTTACCGTTAACTCTTCAAGCTTTGTTAGTTTCAAATTAACCCACTATAAATTTAATGTGTTAATAAACTAATTCCTTTATTTTTCACTTTTCACAAATTAGCTTAAATCATATATCTTATGTATAACCCAACAAGACCCTGTTAATTATGAAAGTCACCAACTTGTTTTGCCATGGGCATGTTTCCAACAGTCTTCCACTTGCACATCTTACAACTACTATATAATCCTACCTTCCTTAGTCTAGCAAGGTATACATCATCCAAGACTATAACAGTACTAAAAACCTAGAGGTATGAACAATCCTTAGTAAGTGATCAAAATTTCCTTTGTTCTGTGATATCCATATGAGCGTAAGACATGGAAGTATGTCAATCTAACATTGAAGATTATGTGTCCCTGTAGAGATTTGTTATGAGGAAGAACATAATACACTATTGATCCACTATCTACTTAGTTTGAGTAATGTCGTATAATTGATGTTCACTAAATTATCGAGGGACCCATGTATATCACTTCTCCTATTAGTTCATAAGGGACATATAAACTTTGACTACGTGGATCCTGCCAACTCATCATGTCACACTTGTATATACCTTGTATGGATTCCAGTTATAGACAACATTGAAGAACAATGAAGCATACCCATACATCTCTATTTGAATAATATATGATATTACTATCTTAGAATTACTGGTGACCATTTCCATGTAGTAATCTTTAAGTGTGGGTTACTCCATTACTTAGGTGGTGTTTGTTTTTTGTCTGCAGATCTGCGTGGTCTTTTCTGTCTGCGTCGCGCGGACCACGCGCAGACATTAGCCTTCGCAGACTGTTTGTTTTTTTTGAAGACTGCAGACCTAAAAATGTCTGCGCGCCCTCTTCTTGGCGCAGATGTGGACCAGAGTCTTCTAACATCTTCAGACATCTTCTAGCATAAAAAAACACATATGTCTTCATTTTTTTTAGGGTTTTTTTTTTGACTTATTTTTTTTCCAACTTTATTAATCATAAACAATTTGAAAAATAATTACAAAACTTAAATAAAAAAAACGTTCGACGATACAAACATGATATTTTTGACAAATTTATAAATAAATATTTATTACAATAATAGTCGTTGAAGTTGTTTATATAAATATGAAAAAAAAAAAATCATAATATATTCTTATATTTTTTTGCCAAATTTTGTAAAACATTATTTAATACAGTATCGTCAATTTCTCGAGAAAATATTTATGGGACATTTTTAATGGATTTAATTGAAAAAATCGAAGTGTATTTCCATCCATTATGTATCAAACTCTTTGATCCATAATTATAATGTTTAGTTATAACTTTGCAACCAAATTTGTTGCTTTTTATCAAATATATACGTTAATTCATACCATTTTTATTTTTATTTTTTATACAATAATAGATAAAAGTTAATCTAGATTTGTTAATTATTTATACAAAGTCATTAAAATATTAAAAAATCACTTTGAAGTTAAAAAAAATGAGTTCATTTAGATTTCAGTTTATTTTAGTAGTCCGCAGATGTTAAAAAAACAAACAGTCTTCTTTTTTCAGACTGCAAACGTTTGGTCCACCTCTTCTACTGCAGAGGTCTACAGATGTGGTCCGCAGACTGCAGACATTTTGCATCAGAAAAAACAAACAACACCTTAATCTCCATTAAGCACATATGAGTATTAATCACATCTCAATTGAAAATCTTCTACTTGCTTCTAAAAGTATGATCGTATGTGCATGATTTGAATAAATTAATATTCAACAAGTTAGGTGAACATGAAAATAGAACACAGTAGTAAATTAATGAACTAATTTCTCTCCATCATATATTAAGATTTCCACATAATAATTGCCAAATCAAATGAATATTTATACTGTATATGTTCCCAAATAAAAAAAAGTAAATTAAATACACTTAAGCCAATTCATTTACAAATCTAATGGATTTCGACCTAATATGACAATCATGGTTGGCTTGTGATAGTGGCTTAGTGAATGGATTGGAAAGATTCTCTTTCAATATAACTATATTAGATGTGATTTATTTACTTTCGACAATCTTTCAAATATAGTGATACTTAATGAGGATAGGCCTTGTGCGCTTACATGACATGGGATTTTTACTTGAGGTGACTAAATCATTATTGTCAGCAAATATCTCAAAAGGATCATCAAATCTTCGAATGACACTAAGATCTATGATGAACCTCTTTAGCCATATCGCATTCTATGCAGCCTTACTAGATGCAATATACTTAATCTATATTGTCAGGTGTACTATGGTGTGTTTGTTGGCACTCTTCCAAGTCATCACTCCATTAATAAGTATGAAAAAAATACAATATCTCTATCAGTTTGGAATCAACATCAGTATAACTCTTTACACTGATGTCTTTGATAAATCAAGAACGAAATTCATTGCCCTCCTTATATACTCAGAAAAATTGCTTGGTATTAATCTAATGGTTTTTACCATGATTAACATGGTAACAACTTGTCATTCTTAAATCATATGAGACATCAAATCTTATACATATCATGGTATACATGATTTATCCCATGGCCAGAGTGTAAGAACCAAAAATTTTAAGAGATTTGACTTTGGGTGAATAATCAACCAAAAGGCAATTTGGTCATTTAGAGGAATTTCATGAATGTAGAAGATTTAACGTCATGAAATGAGTCAAGATAAGTTTAATTCACTTGTATAAGATGAGATAAGTAAGTTTAAGAGAAGAATACAAGAGGTGGTGCATTTATGCCATAAAGGCTAAAATTGAAATTATATGTTTTTTAGGCCAAGTTTTTGACTTAATAGATTAAGAACTATAAGTATTCAGTCCGAAGTGACTAAATGGAGTTTTATAACTAATCTCATCCTTCATGTGGATATAAAGATCATTTAAAACAGGTTTAAAATGAAGAAGATACGAGTATTAGGAGATTAGAAGAAAACTATCCCAAAGCTGGAAAGTAATCAACTAAGGAGCTACTGATATGACGCCACCTCAGCGCCGTAAGTGTGTAACATCTCAAAAATCAAGGTGAATTTTTCATTTTTCAAAATCAACCCATAAACAATAAATGTTTACAAAACTTAGTTTCCAAAAGTCAAAATCACAAATCAGTGTAACCTTAAAATCAAATCTCATAAAAATTGGAGGATGTGCACGATAACGCCTTTGCTTTTCCCCGGTCATCTGAAGTACTTGAAACATAACACATAAACTGTAAGCCAAAGATTAGTGAGTCTCACTAGAATACCACCACAAAACATAACATATATACAATCATGCATGCTGGCCCAATCAGTCATCAGACTGGAATACCATCTGGTCCACAGCCATCGGGCTAAATTACCCCCGACCCAATCAGTCATCGGACTGGAATGCCAATATGCAACAGGTCTAATCAGTCATTGGACTGGAATACCCTCGGATCCATAGCCGTCAGGTTGGATTACCCTTGAGCCTACAACATGTTTGTTGGCCTCCCTATAGACCAGTATTGCCTCAACCCAACCTTACTATGTTGGCATATGCATCAGATAATGTAATGACCGCAGATTCAGCACTACAAGAAAAAGTTGAAATAACTACGGAAATTTGCTACGAAAGTAAAATCCGTAGTTATTCTGCTACGGACTATGATACGGAATGGCTTGTTGTAGCTATTTTGCTATGGAACTTGCTACAGAATTACATTCCGTAGGTAATATTTGAATAACTACGGAATTTTGCTACAGAATTAGAAACCATAGCTATTCTACTATGGAATATACTACAAAATAGTTAGACGTAGGTATATTTTCTACGGAATTAGCTATAGAATTGCATTCTATAGCTAATATTTGAATAACTATAG